CCAATCACACACATTAGATACTATTAGCATTCCTTTTTAATAACTTCACACATTAAGGAGACTGTATATTTTGATTACTCCCAAATATGTATGGGTAAAGGGGTAGGGGTCTTATAACTGGCCTCAAAGATTGTGACTATAGTTAAAAAAACAAAGGCCTAGTGTACTGAGTAATACTTGGAAGATTGCTTTTACTTTTCACCCTCTAGGGGTGGGTTAAATGTCTGAACAGTGTTGATCTACCATGTTTAGATGTGATTTTGACAAATAGGGAGAAACTGGTTGAGAATTTGAAAGTGGAAGGCAGCTTGGGTGAAAGTGATCATGAAATGATAGAGTTCATGATTCTAAGGAATGGTAGGAGGGAGAACAGCAAAATAAAGACAATGGATTTCAAGAAGGCAGACTTTAGCAAACTCAGGGAGTTGGTAGGTAAGATCCCATGGGAAGCAAATCTAAGGGGAAAAACAATTGAAGACAGCAGTTTTTCAGAGACATTATTAAGGGCACAAGAGCAAAATATCCCACTGCGTAGGAAAGATAGGAAGTACAGTAACTCCTCACTTAACATCCTCCTGCTTAATGTTGTTTTGAAGTTATGTCGCTGCTCCATTAGGGAACATGCTCATTTAAAGTTGTGCAATTCTCTTATGTCATTTGGCTGCCTGCTCTGTCCACTGCTTATAAGATGCTGTGGAAAAGCAGTGACTTTACAAGAGAGCATTGCACAAGTTCCTCTTTGCCCCCATCTCCCCCTCCCTCCCAGTGCTTCCCCCTGCCACCAAACAGCTGTTTGGCAGTGCTTAGGACTTTCTGGGAGGGGGGGAAGGAGCAGGGACGCAGTGTGCTCTGGAGAGGAGGTGGAAAGAGGTGGGCATGGAGTGGAGCAGGGACGGGCAAAGGCAGGACTGGGGCATCCCCCGGCAAAGTCAGCACCTGTTCTTCTTGGGGGAAGCTGCCACAGCGCAAGGTGCTTCCTAGCATCCTTGCCTGCAGCAGGCTGTGCCTGTGTGGGGTAAGCCAGGGGCACCTCCCAGCCACAGTACAGTGTATAATGCCTTTTGTGTGCCCCAAAAAAATTAACCAAGAGATTAAATCAAGAGTCCTACAAAAAGTGGAAACTAAGTCAAATTACGAAGCATGAATATAAACAAATAACACAGAAGAGAATAAGGTGATAAGTAACAGTCAGCATGGATTTGTCAAAAACAAATCATGTCAAACCAACCTGATAGCTTTCTTTGACAGGGTAACAAGCCTTTGTGGAAAGGGGGAAAACGGTAGACATAGTATATCTTGGCCATTCCCAGAGAGTAGTTATCAGTAGTAGTTCAGTCATGCTGGAAAGCATAATGAGTGGGATCAGTTTTGGGTCTGGTTCTGTTCAATATCTTCATCAATGATTTAGATAATGGTATAGAGAGTACACTTTTAAAGTTTGCAGATGATACTAAGCTGGGAGGGGTTGTAAGTGCTTTGGAGGATAGGATAAAAATTCAAAATGATCTGGATAGACTGGAGAAACAGTCTGAAGTAAATAGGTTGAAAATTCAATAAGGTCAAAGGCAAAGTAGTCCACTTAGGAACAAGCAGTTGCACATATACAAAATGGGAAATGACTGCCCAGGAAGGAGTATTGTGGAAAGGAATCTGGGGGTCATAGTGGAACACAAGCTTAATTCAAGTCAACAATGTAACACTGTTGCAAAAAAAGCGAACATCATGCTGGGATGTATTAGGAGGAGTGTTGTAAGCAAGACACAAGAAGTAATTCTTCCGCTCTACGCTGCTGATTAGGCCTCAACTGGAGTATTATGTCCAGTTCTGGGTGCCACATTTCAGGAAAGATGTGGACAAATTGGAGAAAGTCCAGAGAAGAGCAACAAAAATGATTAAAGGTCTAGAAAACATGACCTATGAGGGAAGATTGAAAAAATTGTGTTTGTTTAGTCTGGAAAAGAGAAGACTGAGAGGACACATGAAAACAGTTTTCAAGCACATAAAAGGTTGTTACAAGGAGGAGGGAGAATTGTTCTCCTTAACCTATGAGGCTAGGACAAGAAGCAATGGGCTTAAACTGCAGCAAAAGAGGTTTAGGCTGGACATTAGGAAAAACTTCCTGTCAGGGTGGTTAAGCACTAGAATAAATTGCCTAGAGAGGTTGTGGAATCTCCATCATTGGAGATTTTTAAGAGCAGGTTAGACAAACACCTGTCAGGAATGGTCGAGATAATACTTAGTCCTGCCCTGAGTGCAGGGGACTGGACTAGATGACCTCTCGAGGTCCCTTCCAGTCCTATGATTCTATGTCCCATAAGATACTGAGATGGTCACAATTCATGCAAAATGTTATACACCCTACTTTGGCTTTGAGTGAGCCACTAGCATTTTGTGATTTATATGCAAGTGAGCTTTTTTTTTTTCCGTTTAACTGCAGCATAGCTATTTTTTCTATTAGTTAAAACTAATCACTGCCACTGTAGAGAAAGTGGTAAAGCTTAGCAATTTTTTTTTAAAAAGGTAAATGTTTAGTTTACATGTAATGCAACAACTCTAAAACATGAGAAACTACAGTAATTATTTTTGGACTATAGTAATAATCAGATTTCTTGTTGTCAAGCATCTCTGTACAGCCAGTTAATTGGCAATCCTTATTAGCCACTGTTTGGATTAGCCTTTTGCAAGAGCAAAATGCTAGATTTAGGTTATTAAAACCACGTGCTTTTGTTCTGTGCAGCTGTAGGGATGGGGGACAAACCATTTAAACAAACCAGAGAGGACAGATTCATATTAGCATTTTAAAACATAGGTGCTAGAATTAGCGGTGCTGCCGCACCCCCTGGCTTGAAGTGATTTCCATCATATACAGGGTTTACAGTTTGGTTCAATGGCTCTCAGCACCCCCACTATACAAGTTGTTCCAACACTCATTTTAAAACACCAAATTTTATCATGATTTAAGTCAGGGAGCAGGAAATTGTTATTCAAATTTATTTTAATCATGTTTTGCATTTGTACTTCAATTAGATTTTCTGAAGAAAGGTTCATTACCACTGAAATTAGTTGCAAATCAACATTACATAGCTTTTAGATTAGATTTGGAGACTGCACTATATTCATACACATTTATTCAGATTCTTAACTGTTAGAAAATAGAGTAAAATAAAGCTAGTAAATAATCATTCACTAGCTTTATTTTACTCTAGATTTCATGCCAAGCTGTAATTGGAGGGAAACAACTCAATTAAAAATGTACAAACACATTGGTATTAGTTAAATAAAAACTATCTTTCTGCTGGATACATAAGAGAGAAGAAAGTGTATCCAAACATGTTTTGTTTAAAAACAAAAAACCACAGCTTTAAATGCAAAGGCAGCATTAACTGTAGCTAGTGAATTGACAGACTGTTTCTGGTTACTGTGAGCCAAGTTTTCAAAGTTATTTAGGTTCGTAAAGGATGCAGATAGGCACCTTGTGGGATTTTTAAAAGTGCCCAAGCATGTCCAGTGCCTAACTCCTATTTAAACCAATGGGAATTAGGTTGAAAATCTGGCCCCACGTCCTTAAATCTTGAAAAGTTGGATCTTATCCTCTCCAACCTTGTTTTCATTCATAGACTGGAAAAGGAAAACAAGCATTTCTACTTTTTCAACTTTGAATGAACTAAACCAAATAAAGACAAATATTCCTTCTGCATCTGCTAGCTAAACTGAAACCAAAAATAAAAGCTTTTCTATACAACAGAAATTGAAAGTACTGACATTTGGAAATATATAACTACCCCAGTATTTCCTCCACTATAAAAACTGAAAATATTTAATTCAGTTCAGTGATGACGTGTGTAATGGTTGGGTTGACCTTTAAAATAGAATGTATCCCCCCCAATTATTTTTTTTTTTATATATATATAAAAAAAGCAGCATCCTTTCATGCATCAAAATCTGAGGAGGGCTCAGTGATTCTGCATATTTTTATTTAAATGGTTACTAATTACAGTAAGTTTACACTTTAAAAAATCCAATTTAAATCAGATCTTAAATACTTTTCCTATTTAAAAATAAACCTGTTTAAAATTAAATTCTGAAATTGACAACCTATGTTAGTCATTGATTTTTCTCCACCCTGACAAACTACTCACAACCACTCCAGTGTTTTTTGTTTTTGTATTCACATGACATGAATAAACAAGAGGGGGGTACTTTGCAATGCAGTGGCAATAAAAAAAGGTAGAAGAAGTGAGATTTTTTTTCCAAACTTTGCTCAGAAATCTCTGAAGTGGCACCAGGAAATCTTCATTAGATTAGTTCACAAGCAACTCAATTTACAAAATAGATGTACCATGCACACACAATAGTGGGGAATTTTTTTAATAAATCAAAGCTGCTTATTTGTTTTTGTGAAGAACAACATGGGGAAAGTCCTAAAGAGTAGTGTTACTGCACTGAAACATTTCATATAAGAGGGACAAGCATGTTCTCCAGAGTTTTATTGAAAGTAAAACCATTTTCTGTTAGTACTTCCATGATTAATTCCCCTCCCCTCATAATCTACCATCTGAAAGCACCAACACAGTCATATTTTGCCCTAGGATTTTTCACAAGACAATATACATTTCCTTTTTTAATATAAATTGTTTTAATTGAATTTTACATATTACAAGAGTCATTGCACTTATGTGAAATAATCTTACCATATGTTTATATTTACAGCTTTTGCCTCTGAAACTTCTCTAAGTCTAGGTACTTTCATGTCAGTTTCAGAAAACCTCTCCAGTTTCCAGCATAGAAAGCTTTCATAATTACTGAAAGAGCCATTAGTATATATACAAAACATGATGATTTCTAAATTCTAGAATGATTTGTTGCAGTGGTAAAGATGTCAGTTTCAGAAAGCACTTTACTGTGAAATGCTGTCCATACCCAATACAACATAAAAACAAGGTGTTAGACACTTTTTCCCTCTTCTTCCTGCCCTTAACTCCAAAAAGAAAGTCAGCAAATTTAAATTATAAAATGATACTCCATTAGTTGAGGGTGTGTACTTTCCCAAATACATCACTGGAAAAGTTAATTCCATACAAATATTTACATGCTATTTATATTATGTGATCTCTTAATGCATTTTTAATCACTACTGAAATAGTACTGCTTGAACATTACAACTTCTCTTCATTCTTAATGCAAACTGTATCCTTTGGTTTATTAAGCATCTTTACATCATTCAGCAGTCTTCTGGGTGTCAAAATATGAGTGGAACCTGGTAAAACAGAATACACTTTTAGATGGATGCAGCTAACTATGTATGATTTGCAGACATCAGCATAACTCACTACCAAATCAAAATTGCGTGTTAAGTATTTTTATTGTACCTTTCATACGTTGGATACAGTACTTTAAAATGCTTTACTTTAATGATTTTGATGCTGGACATGCAGTGATTATGGAAGCAAATGCTCCTCCCACCCCCAAGGTAGGGGGTGGCTTTGACTGTGTTAGCAGGAGAACAAAACCTTGGGGGCCCTTCCAAGGATTCCACTCCCCCTCCCCCCCACCACATGGGTTTGAGAAGTGGAGAATCAGTGCCTAATAGGCTGAAGGTTATGCTGTGCTCTTTTGTACACCTTATTTGCTTCCGCATACCTATAAACCCTTCCCCCTATCCACAGCTGCCATAATCTGAGCACCAGGAAGAAAAGATCCCCTTCTCCCTCCCCCACTTTTGGGATCAGAGGACCACCAGGGTTTGGGGCTGTGTGGTAGGCACCACGGTAGTCACCTTTTAAGGGCTAGGAAAGAGTGGCCTGGGCAGTGAGGAGTGGGGTTTTTGCCTTCCTCCCAGTAGCCCAGTGACTCAACAGGTTGGCTATGTTGCAAAATGCATTTTGGCACAATGTTGCAGGTGCCCAGTGCAGGTTATTGTTCAACAGCGTTCTCTGATAAACCTGAGTTGGAAGTAAATTAGGAGATATCTCCTAAAGGCAGCAGCAAATGGGGCTGGGCTTCTACTGTCTGGTACAGTAAGAAGACACCTTTCCCCCACTCTCTTAACCCTCCTGTTAGGTGATGGAGTCCCAGAAGCTGTACTAGGATCAGGTTAACAGAGTGTATGTGTTTGAGGGGGGCGGGGGGGGGGGGGGGGGGGGAAGGCACACTGATGGCAGCCCTTCACCAAGTAGAATAGATTCATCCAGTGCAGGTCATTTGTCCTCTGTAGTTGCTGTTGGATGGTTTCCTGATGTGTTACTTAAAGTTGCAGCCTAGTTAAACCACATTCCTGGTGTCCTGTCTTCCTTCTTGTGGTGTCTGGGACAATAATAGCCACCATTATGCCCTCTCTCAGCATCAGCTCTGGATATCAAACTTTTTTTTTTAAACTGTGAAGTTTTACTCCTCTGACACATACTATAAGATTTTTAACTGCTATCTAGACAGAGCAACAGCAGCTGGTAGAAGAGCTATCTCCAATAATTCCTGCAGCAGCTACACTGGTAAAATCAATTCTTGGCATGTGTCATGAAACAACCAGGAACCACTACAATTCTTAGGATTATGTGGACTTCATCAGAAGTAAATGATTGACCCCTGGCTAGAGCTAGAAGAATGCTACCAAAAGTTCTGGGCCAAACTGTAGCCATTTCAGTTATTACTGCAGAAAAATTTTCTAAGTCCGTAATATTTTTGCACTACTCTGGTTTGTGTTTTCCAATTTCAGCTGGTAACAGTAACTGCAACAAGTTCAGTAATGGGCTAGGTGCAAGTGAATGCAAAGATGAAACAAAACAGTTGTCAGGAGATTCACTGTAATGCGTACCTTTAGCGATCATCTGCATGACTCCTGTGAGTCATACATCTGATTCAGTAATTTAGAAATTAGGATACTACATTTCAGCAGCAAGACTGAGGTCTGAATTGTCTCACATTGGTTATCAATTCTTCTTTCGGGATTTTCAGGGTAACTGTGGGAATGTGTCTTTTTAGAACAAGAAACGAAGGCAATAGCCATAAAGGACCAATTCAGATCTAGGGATACTGGATGTAGTTTCAAAAGAGCATAGTGGGCATATGATGCTTTTTCTAGACTGACCTAGGGGACGCAGAAAAATATGCTTGTTTTTCAAAAATGCACTTAAAAACTAAACATCATTAGGCTCAAATGAAGCACCTCATCTCATCTACTACTTCCTCTTCCCTAGACAGGCTTACCAATAATAACTTCACAAGATTTGTAGGCTTGAGAAACTTCATAAGCACTGCGTATCTCAGAGTATGTGATGCCTCCAATTACAAAAACTATCAGCTTTGAACCACTCTTTCGGTCATCCAGGTAACTAGTCTTGGACTTCTGGCGAGCACTGTAAAATAGTTCATAAGAAAACTTGAGCACATAAGAGCACAGTGATATATTGCATCTAGTTTCACCACCCACATATAGTGTAATGTACTAGTAAAAATGACAGAAAATTTCCAGGTTTGCAGTGTTGCTGTAGCCTTCAAAAGAGGAGACTGGGAGTTTAAATTCTTAACTTTGCTGGACACTAAAAATCATGGTCTTCTGCCATAAATCCTGGGTCTTTATTATTACAACAAATCTGTAACCCACTAACTCTGTTTTTGGCCCTATGACAGCAGAGGTGTTAATGTGCTATTTCACCTTCAATGGTCCCTTAGAATGTGTGTTAGCTACTTATGCTAAACAAATCTGTTCCATCTCATATTTAGCTGTGACACTGATTACCTTTCCAAGACCTGAAGAAGAGCTCTCTGCAGTTCGAAAGCTTGTCTCTTTCACTAACAAAGGTTTGTCCAACAACAAGATATCTCACCCACCTGGTCTCAGAAAATTTCCAGGCAAGTCTGACCAATTAGACATTTCAGGAAAACTTAAAGAAAATTAGACACGTCTTTTTCACAGTTGTGTAGTAGAATATCTTTTGACTCAAATTATAATTGGATGAATTACAAGGGGAAGTCATGATTATGTAAAAAAATTTGACCAAAAAGTGTACTACACCATAGATACAAGTCTAAAACCTACAGTTATCACAAAAGGGAAAAGTAAATACAAGTGAGAAATTTGAGATACACCTGGTCTCTCTCTCTCTCTCTCTCTCTCTCTCTCTCAAAATCTACATTTCTATGAGAAAAGCTTGAAAATTCTGAATGCGAATGATCCAATTAAACCTTTCCCAAAAAAAGGGTTCATCTCCTTTAAGTCAGACAAACATCACTGTCCTTCTCAATACCTAGCTGTAAATAGCACCATGATGAATATTGGCCAATACTGAAAAAGACTGCTGGACAGTGTGGTACAGCTGCTGGAGGACTGTTAGGTCACACAGTCTCTACATTTGCACTGCATTGACCTCAGTAGGTCAGCAAACTACTAATGCCCCCAAAAGACACCCAACTTCAAATCTGTGACTAGCCAGAAAATTGTGCCCCTACCTATCAGACAAAGACCTGCCTACAATGATCAATATTTGTGACATCCAACATTGATTATTGCAACTCACATCTGAATCCACACATTGAAAAAAAGCTTTAAGCGGTACTATGCAAAGATTCACTGAATATATAAACACACACCCCCTCCACTATACTCTCCATGCTAGCTGTCTGATATTCAAAGACTTCCATGGGACTGTACTTAGCTACCAGTGATCACCTCTCTCTCTAGGGCCACTGATTTCCACAAGAGTTAAATTCCACTAGGATAATTAAATTGTTCAGTAAGGGGAGGCTTGAGAGTACAGGAGACAGAACTTTCACAAAACTCAGACCTAGCCTACAGATTTCACTCTTTTGAAAAAATAATGATGGGAACTGCCACTTTCAGAACTAAATGCAAAAAACACATTTCTTCAACCTAATACAGACACAAGACACAGAGTCACACACAAACCACCACTTATAAACTACTCAAGCTAACTCTCCTAAAGGTGACTTAATTCTGGTAAGAAAGATGTTATTTTTATTTCAAATATGTGGGAGGCACTCAAACTACAATTATGAGCTATATAAGTAACTAACTTGAGGGTCATACAGCAAAGCTCCAGAGATTAACTGAAATGCTTTTTAGTAGATTTCATTTTATACTAAATAGTTACTTCAGCCCTACTGGGCATCATTTCTCAAAATGAAAGTTATACAATGCACGTAAGAAAATATAGTGAGAATAGTAAATTATTATCCTGAATATAAATTGTAACAATTTACCTTACTGCCCCTGAACCATTCCAGGATGCAGGGCACTGGGAACAGTAAGGCCATTCTTTTGAATCTAGTTTGTTTTCTATAGCATCCTGGAGGGGGGGAAAAATATATATTCATTTTAACCAAGTTATGTTAACTTGAAACACAATACATATACAAAACCCCATAAATTTCAACTTCTAACAAGACTGGCTGGTTTAGAACTTCAATCCAGAAGCAGTGACAAGTCAAAACAGATGATTTCACAAGAACCAGTGCTCCTACTGTGAAAAAGACTAAGCACCACACCACATCTATATTTAATTACTGGAGTGCTGAAAGTCATTTGTGACTTAGACGCCGTGTATCACGACGAGGAAGAAAAACAGCGGGAAGTAATCTCTAACTAATTTTTAACACAACATTGATTTAATTGTTCAGATTTCATCTTTGATTTTTTTATGTATAACTGCATTAACCTACTTAATTTCTCCACAAAGAAATTATGTGGGTATGTATGTATATATATATATATGGGAAGTCCGAGTTTCTAAAGACAAAACTACACTACTAACTTTGCATGGATTTCCCAGGTGACTAATGGCATCCATTACATGAATTTAACATTTAAACTATAGTCTAAAGATCCACTTTACACACACACACACACACACACACACACACACACACACACACACACACACACAGAGTTTAATTTAAAGAAGCCAATATCAAACTATCAGCCACTGGAGAAGAAATTCAAATGTCTCCCTCTACCTTAATTTGTTTCAGCTAGCTTTAAACTATTTTCCAGTTATACTTAAAACTAAGTTTACCTTATACATTTAATTTTTTATTTTAATATACTAACTAGAAATTTAGTGGTTATGTGCACACGTCTAAAGAACTTTCCTCTTAAGAAAATTTTATGGAATATAAAATATAATTAACTCAAAACTTTTATAATGCCATTTCAAAAGATCATCTTGGATAAACTGTTAGAAATATTCTTAAGTACTTTATAAGCTATATTGCACCTAGGAAACAACTATGTTCTTAGAGTTTACCTCCATAACATCTTTGATAACAGGTGTCCATCTAGAAAGCTGAAATGTTTCTTCTGAAGAGCGGTCCTTCCTTGATTGTCTACGTTGCTGAGAAGCAGACTAAATAAAGATTTAAAAAAAAAATTTTTTTAAAGAGAGGCTATAGTTTTATTACACTATTTCTTTTAAATCATTCCCAACAAAACAGGAAGTTCTAAGGAAATATTGCACCATGTGCATTAAAGTATGTAGAGTACATTTCAGCTGCAATTCAAAATTAAGTACTGGAAACCTCTATTTCAGAAACAAAGAGCTGGATATTTACCCAAAAAAGTGATTGTTTGAATGCTGAAGTGTATATTCTACAATTGCTAAGCTAATGGCTCCCCACATATAATTCTTGCCCAGTTGCTGGAGCTTAAGGTTTACAGCAGTGGTCCCCAAACTTTGTACCTCACACCTGTCCGCCCTCGTACTAGATTTTATTATGAGGCACCTATACACTTTGATAGAACAGTGAAACGGGAATAAAGAGTGTTTCCCAGAAAGTATGATTAAGTTATAAAACAAAAAATTGAATTTTTTTTTGTTACTATGAGGACTGCCTATCTCACTTAAATGATCAGATTCTTAAAATTAAGTGTACGAAAACTTTGAGTTCAGACATTACATTACACTATACTCAAAGCCTGCATAACTTTGACAAGTTATGGAACAAACAGCTTGCATCAAAATAAGATTATTTTTGTAAAAATGTTAGATATTACTTGGAAAACTATCAAGTGTAAAACCAGCATACTGTTTTAAAAGTTAGATATGTCGCAAATGTTAGCAGTGAGAATTTCTCAAGAATTCCTAGGAAAATAACTAACTTCTGTAACTTCTAGATTCTCCCAAGAAAAATGTGGAATGCCATATTAAGAGTTGCAGAAAAAGCCTTAGAGCTAAATGGAAAAAATGCAGTATTTCTTACTGTAGGAGAGAGAGAAAGCTTGGAGCACTCTACCTGGTGCAAGACCTGAGGCCCGAACCAGAGACTGTGAACCAAAGTCAGGCCATGTATTAAAGTACATGCTTACAAGTACACTCTGATACATGACCTTGGCAAAGGTACTGCTAATGTTGCTAAAACACAGGCACTCCTAAGAAGCAAGGGGGTGGGGGTGAGGGTGTCCGTCCAACATATTAGCCCAGGTACATCCTGACCTAACACCAGATAAGAGGGTTTGACAGAAGTGATGAACAGGGATGTTTGGCCTGAGACATCTAGAGCAAGGTACAAGGGGAGGTAACAAGCAGATGTCATGAAACATGTAAGGTGGTACATAAATTGTTTGTCTCAGGTCTATAAATGTCGGGGAACCTTGCCTTAACCCAGAGGTGGGCAAACTATGGCCTGTGGGCCGGATCCGGTTCGTCAGGGCTTTCAATCCGGCCCGCGGGATTGCCAGCCCTGTGGCGTAGTGGGGCTAAGGCAGGCTCCCTGCCTGCCCTGGCCCCACACCGTTCCTGGAAGCCACCCACACCATGTCCCTGCAGCCCTGGGGGTGGGAGGAGGAGAGGGGGCAGAGGGCTCTGTGCACTGCCCTCGCCTAGAGTCACCGTCCCCCACAGCTCCCACTGGCCAGGAACGGGGAACTGTGGCCAATGGAAGCTTCAGGGGTGGTTCCCACAGGCAAGGGCAGTACGCGGCAGAGCCACCTGCCCCACCCCACCCCCAGGAGCCACTGCCAGACATGCTGGCCACTTCCGGGAGCGGCGTGGGGATAGGGCAGGCAGAGAGCCTGCCTTAGTCCTGCTGTGCACTGCTGCCACCCCAGAGCTGCTCAAGGTAAGCACCCCAAACCCTTCCTGCATCCCAACCCCCTGCCTTGATCCTCCTGCTGCATCCCTCCCACACCCCAACCCCCTGCCCTGAGCCCCCAATGCCTGCCGCACTCCTCCTGCACCTCAACCCCCTGCCCTGAGCCCTCTCCTGCACCCCATCCCACACCCTGCACTCCAACCCCCAGCCCCAGCCCTACTTTCATGGCCCTGCATACAATTTCCCCACCCAGATGTGGCCCTCGAGCCAAAAAATTTGCCCATCCCTGCCTTAACTCTTTGTGCAGCCGAGGGGACAGCAGAAATTCCTGCTGTTGACTGAGCCACTCTTTGCCACTGGGCTCTCGTGTTAGTGTACCCACAGCTCCTATGAGATGCTAGTACTGTGCTTGAAGATACTAAATCTGGTCAAGTGCCTCTGTCACCGAACCATGCCTGTGGTCTTTCTTTACGAGTAACACCGAGGCCTGCTGAATTAGCAGGCTGAATTGTCTGCTAGAGCTAATAATATCAGAGCTCCAAGAACAGAAGCACTGAGCAGCTGGAACAGCTAAGTGGCCCCTGGATAGCGTTACCACAGCAACAACATTCCAGCCTTCAACACTTAACACTTACCGAGACCACAACAGGTACACCAAGGTATTTCCAATTTTTTATCATGTCGCTATCACTTTCTATTTGTACATTCTGGATCAGTTTGTCCAAATTCTCTTGTGTAGTTCCTTTTGCCACAAAGAAAAAAATGAGTAAGTTAGATTTTGAATTAACAAGGCCATCTGATACTTTAGGATAAAATTAGCTCTTGGTCCCAGACATGACAGGATTTTTGATTTAAAAACTAGGATATATTTATTTGATAGTTCATAATAAATCTATCCTTTTAAATTTACCATAATCTGCTTCAGATACTGAAATAAATACTTGAAAATTCAAATGTCACTTCATGCCAATCTTTGAGAATACATTCAAATCTCTATAGGAGCCTCTATTTCCTTTACTCCAACAGCAATCAGTACATTTCTGGGTCCAGTACAGCAGATCTTGATGGTCCAAGGTCCCACTTGGCAAAATAATTCAGTTTTGGGGAAACGGAGGTGGAAGGAAAGGCAAGTCAAACCTCATTCAAAGCTTAATCACATTATCAGTTACCTAAGTTTGTGCTACTCAGTGCTTATGATTGAGAGCTCAGGAATGCATTCTCCTCTCCAGTCTCTTTTCACCACTCTTCCCCATCCACTCCAAATCCCAGGATGCACCTAACAGCAAATCCCACCCCAAATCCTCCAAACACTGACCTGGGTAAGGAAGGGACAATTCAAGAAAATATCCCACATACCAAGTACTGAGATGCTGCTCAGATAAGCTATTGTAAAACAAATGTGCTTGCTTGTTGTGCTGTATCACTTCTAGCCCTGTATGAGCAACCTCTTCAAGAGGCATCTGGGGAAAAGAGGCTACAAGTTATGGCAGCATTTCCTTTTAACCTGCCATGGCCTAGTATGACTGGTCCATACCCAGTATTGGTCTCTGCACTAAAACCTAGTATTGAAATCTATAACATATTGAAAAACAAAGCAACTTATCATACCATTTGTGCTGAAGATATAAAGGAGTATAGCTCTTATTTTATCATAAGAGTCATGGTTTTTGTTGAGTAGAACTGGAAGAAGGACTCTCATTGCGTCTTTCACTTTTTGGCCCTCTGCATCAGTTCCAAGAGCTAAATCCTAAGTGAAAAGCAAACAAAGTGGTCTTAGTGACCAATCATTAAAACAAATAGCATCAGTTTGTGTTTCTGTATTTAGTTCCAGCAAAATGCGAGTTACCACTAACTTTACAAACATTACCACCATGGTGGTTGTGATGGAAGAGTTTCACTAATGACTCTGTTAACACTGAACTTAAACCAAAGGTCCTGTGTCTACACAATTGAAACAGCTATGCTAAACTATTATAGTTGTGTATTTCAACTGTGGTATCAGAGCTTGTATTTTTTAAACTCTGTAGCAAAACAATTTTGACAGTCCACGCTGGCCAGTCAAATCTTGTTAGAAAACAGCTCTGCCAAAGAATTTCAGCTATAATTAAACACAGTTGTCAGTAAGGGCCCTGTCTGTACAGATGAAACTAACAGCCGGAATATGAACATTTTCAAAACTGAAGAGCTTTTACATTGTAAATATTGTAAAAGTTTGGTCAGATTTTGTTTAAAGTTGTATTACCAAGTTCCAGACCAAAGACCACTATAACAAAAGTTGCTTCTTATACCCATGTTATATTTTGCAATTATAAGAGAGTCTTTATGTTCATAATATTAAAGAATAAGCTTAAACATTTTAAATATGATTTTGTACTTCATACTTCAGGTTAACAGTATTAGCTTGTTTGTTTATGGTAGTGCCCACAGCATACAAGCTGCTTTCTATACATTCAGAAAGGGAGAGTACCAGCTCTGAGGAGCTCATAATCTAAGGTGAGACATAACTGGACAAGAAATTAGGGAAAGAGAAAAACAAGTTGGGATTTTTTTTTTTTTTTTTTTTTTAAATAAAAAGGTCAACTAGATTACCCATAGGCAAAGGTAGGTCTTTTAACAGAGACTTAAATATTGACAGGATAGGAACCTCGGGGATGAAGTCTTACAGTAAGATTACTCAAGAGTAGACAATTAAAAAAAAAAAAATCAGACATGAAAAAGGCAGATACAAGCTACAAAATCAGTCTTATGAAAATGACTATTTCTGCATAGACTGCAAACATTAGATTTATTTACACTAACAACTTTCACATACCTGTTCAGTTTTGCACAGCTTTTCTATACTGGATTTAAACTTACTCATGCAATCTTCTGCTATGTTAAGATGGACTACTTGCTGTAAGAGAACAAACATCGTAACTTACTTCTTTTCACATAGTTCAGTCATAGCAGGAGTACAATTTAGTTCATTTTTACTAGTTACACAGTCATCTTTTGACTATCTGAGCTTAATTTTGTAACCACCTCATACTTATGTGTTTTACTTAGAACAAGTGATGGCTTTTTCAGTAAGGATCAAATTCCTGGTTTTCAAAGGCAGAAACTTTTGCATGTGCAGTTTTGTTTGTTTGTTTTGTTAAGACTATAACTATGACAGCTGCAGGTTAAGGAAGGTAGTAATCTGTATGATTGGTAGCTATAGCCAAATACAGTTTAGATGACCCGTCTTGGCACTAAAACACCAAGCAGAAATTGCTGTGTCGTGACAAGGTGGAGATCAGTCCCAAAGACATGAAATTTAGGAAGCCTAATGTTCACATATCTCCATAACAGCCATCAGTCTGATTAAAGTGCAAGGAGGAAGAGACTGTCTAAATTAATTTTGATAATCAAATTGTAGTTACAAAATCTACAATGAAATTATTGGAATTGAGGTCCCCCTCCCCCTTTACTAATTTCTCATTTCTCAAAAAATCTCAATCAACAGCCTATAATAAGTGAAGAACCTTGTGGCCTAAAATAGGGAAGTGTTGACTTATGACCTTCACTTAGGATATGGGAATTAGCTTATGATTCTATATTTTGCTAGCTTCCGGTGACTGCCTCACCCTACTTGACTAATCCCTTACATCCTTCCAGAAAAGCACAATGTGACTGATTACAAGCTGATGTCACTCCATTAGGCTTTTGTATAAGGCCGCTTTATAATTATGAATTTTGAAATATGCCTTTACCAAATCCAATAACTTGAGTATTTCAATGCTGTGAAATCATGAGAGAGGATTAAATTCATCTGGATTATCTCAAATTCTAGCCCATTAGAATGTCTTCTCACAAATAACTAAGATACAAAATATGATTTTCTAAATATTAGAGTTAATAAAATGTATCAAATGCAAGTTTTGACCCTGGATGTTGCTGTTTTTTGACTGAAGGCAATACCAAAAATAAAAAATGAAGATGACACTTTAAAATCACAACCGAAGATTCTTTAGGTGTTTGATTAGGTAATTAAACTTGAGAATTTCAAGTTTATCATCTGCTAGTCTCTATCTGCAATGTCACTACTCTATTCCATGGAGTGAAAAAACAAAAAGTGCACCAGGAGAGTGCCATTCACAAAGAAAGATGGTTTATTAGACTTCTAGGTACTATTATTCATCTATAGGAGACCTCTTTCCCTCAACCAGCTTAAGTGATAAAGTCGAGATATGCAACTGGCTGGAACCTGATCTCACTCAGGAGTCCAGAACATCTTTAAGGGGAAATGCGTGCAACAGCAGTACATCTTTTTAAGTCTCTGTTTTTAATTTCTATAATACATGAAGATTCTGCAGTGGGTTTACGATTAGCCACACCTGTTAACTTATGATTACAGGTCAAGTGAGAACATGGTCATGCTTCCGTAGTTTCCTTTAGATGTGTATTTTTGCAGATAGGGGTTTCATTTCAGTTTTAATTGATGCATCTTACACTACTTAACTTTAGAATCTTTACTAAGAAAATAAAATACCATGGTGTAAAGTTAAGTTTGACAATATACTAATTGTGTGTTGATCCTATTAATTTGAAACATTTCTTCCATTCATCATTGCTATATAAAGAGAAAGTAAAAGCAATACTGCGAAGCATTAGTTGTTCAGACAGGTATCTACAATCATAATCCAAGTGCATTAGTTTACTTAAAGAGTATGAATTCATCCAACAGAAGGCTTTAAACATTTCATATTGACAAAAAAAGCAGTCACACTTGGAAGTGGACTTACTCCTCAAAAAATGTGTTCATTGAGAACAAAAATATGAAGCACCTAATATAAAACCATGCATGACAAAAGCTCAATATAAAAAACAAAAAACAAACAAAAAAACCAAACCAACAGATTTTTCCACCTTAAGGTTCTTGAATTAAAATCATAAAAATATAGCCTTTAAAACCAGAGATATTAATTGGTGAGAACAGTTGACAAGCAAAGTGTAGCAATGTACAGGATGCTGCTTACCTTGGTAATCTGTTTACGGAAGTGTGGCATCTTTTTCATTAGCTGGGCCAGATTACTTAGTGATAACTGTGATAACAGGACAGAGTTTAAAATGAACTGATGTTTCTTATTCAACAAATACAATTTTATTTATTTCCCTTACTGCTGGAGGCTGGGATTTCCCAACTCCACAGCTGAGAAACTCGTATCAATTTCTCAGGTAGGTTAAGAACCAATAACCAAACACAGAATTTTAAACTGACCTTGTTGAAAAATACACTAGGCAAGCAATTAAACATTAGAAAAAAATATTTAACAATAAGTCAGTAATAAGTAACTATTTCTTACTTTTCCTTCTGTTGCTTTTCTCTTTGATGAAACTTCTTTCAAAAGTTTTGGAATTTCCCTGTCAGATTAAGAAAGTAAAGGAATGCTTTACAATCTGAAACAAGTAATTTATTAGTTATAAATTAAATTAACAGTATGATAAAGTAGTAAACGCAAGAGATTTATGGTTTCCAATTATCATAACTGGTTTTTAGTGAAAAATGAGGTTTTAAAAAAATAGATAAAAGATACGTGTTTCCATACATTTCTAGGTAGAAGACTAAAGCTAAATATTCTCAGTAGGAATACCATCAAGTTAAGGCAAACATTTTGGTATTCCATCCTGCAAAAATATACTCATTTTGGATAGGAATGAAATCTCTTTTCTCAATTCATGGCAAAGCTAAGTGCTTCTTGAATTCTAAATTTCCTCCTCAAAATTTAGATGAAGATTGTGAAGTCTCATCATCTTTGAAAGATATACAAATAATTTTAATTTCCAAAGGATTTTAATAAATATTGGTATATGATTTACATACATTTGAGTTATTTTGCTATCATCAGTTTTTGGACACTAGAATTTAAATGTGTACAGCACTGAGAGGTCTGTAAATACTATTTTCCCTTAATAGCTGGCCAAACCAGATAATCTTTTCCCCTTACAAATCTGTAATCTTTCTATAATTATTCAATGTCTTTATACCTTTGTCAATTCTTTTACTGTAGTATTTTCTAATTAAATAATATCCCTGAAATGTATAAAGTATCATAAACATCAAGAACGTATTCACATACTCTAACACATCTGCAATATGCTTGTGCCGAATTTTCACCCAGAGCTCATCCTCCTCCTCCAGAATTGCCTCCCTTTCCTTTCCACTGGGACCATCTGTTTTATATCTACAGACAGGAAATCAGGTTGTGAAATTAGGTATTTCTAATGTATGCTTTACATAAAAGCAACTGAACATGTAAAATAAAAGTTAAATAACTATTTTTAACATTGGCAGGTAATGCACAAAGATGATTTCTTTTTTAAAAAGAAATGTGGTTCTGAAACAATATGTACTATTTTAAGCATATTTTATGCATAATGCTCAGGAAAAGTTAAGGCTGATCCAAAGTCCTTAATAATTAAGGCAAAATTACATTAATTTTAGAATAATTTTCTTATGCAGTAAACTAGTTAAAGCTGGAAATCCATCCTGGCTTATCCTTTGAATATTCTGTAGGTTGTTGGTTTAAAAAAAAAAAAAAAAAACACAACAGATTTACATGCACTTTAATTTCCTCTAGGTTTTTGATTTTCTCCTTTTGAATTGAAGTTGTGTGCAAAGTCAACCCATTGGAGATGACAAAATATAGATAGCATTAGACGTCTATACACCTCTGGAGGTGCAGAAGGACTTGTGTCTACAAACTCCATGTATAGCTACAGAATAGACTTTTGTGGACTAATTACTCCACATAAATCTACAGCTAGCATGCTTAGCATCACAGATTTCAATTATTAAGCAGTTTTCTGTGAACAGACGGAATATGATGCATATTAGATATCTTATGACACAATACTTTCATTTATATTTGGATATAGTTGCAGAAACTCACAAAAAGTGGTTAAACCAGAAGGCAGTAGAAAGAGAAAAATACAAACTTAATTAAAAAAAAAAAAAAAGTAAAATAGTGGCTTTACCTACTGGATAAAAATCTAATCAATAAGTTTCAGACTCGTAAGAATATAAATATAAATAAATGTTGCAAGCTTCGCATTATTTCTGAAACTCTTGTAAATTTCCATTTGATATATAGTTCTTTAGCAGATTCTCAGATATCTGAAATGCATCCCACAAAGGTTGCCTGATAGCATGGCAGAAGTATGATGACTTGTTTGTGACAAACAAATTTGGAAGCAGATTCAAGATTTATGAGACTTGTATCCTATAAGGTGGAACTAAATTAGATCCAAGTTGCAGAGCTCATACCTGGATCTCAACTTCAATAAATATAAAAAAAAATTCAGCTCTACTAGTCACCAATTAAGATTTCAGATTAGGGTAGTAAATATAGCTACATCAGCTAGATGTATTAATTTTTCTGATCATAGGATAAGCCAAGAATTGTTGCTGCTATGGACATTTCCCCCTCCTGCCATAGTTATCCATACCTCTGTGACACCCTCCCCACACCAAATCAGTCTTACTACTGGGGCCGTATCTTTGAAGGGCCACTCAGAAGCTTCAAGACAATGTAACCAATCAAAAATCTCTGGCAAAGAGAGGACAGAAGAAAAAAAGTTTTTAAATAAACTGTAGCCATCTTTATACAGCATAAAGAAGTAAAATAGCAAATAATTCCCTTTGTAGTTCACCTTTAATAACTGTACAAATAAAGCAGATATCAAAGACAGTTCCTAAACTCAAGTCAGAATGAAGTATTTAGATACAAAAAGTTATACTTGCTTGTATGTATCATTTTCAATTGGTAGCAGATCATATGCCATTGCTTGGAAGGTAAGTTCATGGAGTACAGTGGACACAGGGTCAAAGCCACGATCAATTATTAACAGCTGGGAGTGGGTTTTACCCTAAAAACATCAGGACAGAAAAACTTTTAAGGCATACTGTACAAAGCTACAATGCTCCAAATCTATTTGAAGCAACCAAATCACATTCTAAGCCTTCTTGGAAAATCCTATAGAGTGCCAGGACGGTTTATTCTCTGATCAAGAGCAAGATTTTTTTTTTTTTTTTTTTAATTCAAAAACCCATTACAGTTAAGTTGTCATTAGCTATAACAAACTGGCCCAGCTACTACTCAGCCACGAAACAGAGGAAGCTCTCTGTTTAAAGACAATATGCGTTCATACAGGATGTTTATGTATTGGGTTTTCAGGCACACTACAATCCTTTCACTTTTCACCTCAAGAGCAAAAATCCCTTTTGAACTGGACAAAACAGAAAACAAGCATGTCTTAGGCTTGACACACAGAAACATGGATATTATCTGAATCCTAGACCAAGAGAACTTACAGTTTTAAATGTGATAACCAGCTGATCTTGATGTGGATTCAAAATTAAGTTCTTTAGGAGTCACTAGAAGATCAGCATCACAAAACCTCAGCGCTTTGATCAAGTCAGAAGGTCAGCAAGACAGGACCAAACTGAGCATTCAGAATGGCACCAGAGGTCCCAGAATGCATGACTGGTTCCCAACCCTTTTATCAGAGGCTCTTCCTTCCCCCAATAGATCTTTTTCTTCTTTTTGATTTTCTCTTATCTTGTTTGCTCCTGTTTCTGCTCCCAGTCTCTTGGTGGTTGTGCCCATCTCATTTCCCCAAACACTAGAAAAGTACTTCATGCTTGGGTTGGGTGGAGTATCTATTGGTGGCACAGGGGACTCAGTTGCATTTATTCTTGTGGCTGAGCTGAATGCCATGGAATCAGAGACACTTGGGTCAGTGGGTTACTGTCTGAGCATGCAACCACCTGTACACATGACCTATGACAAACTATTAGGGACTATTGTGGGAGAAATGAAGGATGGTAGGCATATTTCTAAGAGCCCTGTTCTCCCACAGCAACGGGATTTCCATGAATCCTGAAGTGGGAAAATTGTACCCCTGAAATAATCCACTGCTTTGCCCAGTGCCCTAAAAAGTGGGATGAGTCAAAATCATGCATTTTCCCTCTGATCTGCACCACCCATTTATTAGTCTGGCAACCCTCCTCCAGGTGGGACGTCTCTGTGTGTTATTATATGAACATAGAGCATCAATTCTGTTTTCTTTGGATAAGAAACCTACTGCACAAGTTCTCTTACAACCTGTTTTTAAATTACACAAAAAGCAACTGAAGGGACAATCAGTTTTCTAGATTTAGTAACCAAATCTTTTTTTAAAAAAAACAGCAGTCTTCTAACATCCTTTAACAATTTCCTTTGTTTACAAAAATAAAGCAAACATGGGATGTAGCTTTCACTCTACCTTTATTTGGCTTTTCTCATCAATTTTATAGTAGTTTTCAAGCTTATTTTCAACTAGCTCTGCAAGTTTGCTGGCATTATCCAATGGCTTGCTGGAGGGGGAAAAAAAGAAAACGCCTCAAATATTGTTTATTAAATTTCTGTTATAAGACATTTTAGTGTCAGTGTTCTATAATGCAACTGCTTACCTTCAAACACCTGTAGTTTCAGAACTCCTACTTAATTTTGAAACATTTCAAACACATTTTTGCCATAATGCAAATTTACAGTACTTTCCCTCAACTATGACATAAAACAGCTTAAGAGCTTACTCCTAAACACACTTAAGCATGGAGGGCTTTGGAGCGGAGCCCGGAGCTGGAGCGCGGAGCAGCAGGTTTTTGCCTGGAGCTGGAGTGGAGCCGGAGCACAGCTCCAAAGCCCGTTAGCATTTCATTCTTATTTTCCTATCAAGCCCACATATCTGTATGATCAAGCCCTAAATTGTTATCTTGTACTCAAAACAAAGTGTACACAGGTGTTTTTTAAAGAAACATAAGCAAGACCAAAATGGATAGCTAATATAATGGATAGCAAGTCTTACCTACATGTACAATAGTCAATAAGAAGAGCGAAAGAACAATAATGGGATGGTTATTCAATTCTGGTTGCAGAAATACTTGAGTGAAAAATTTCAGTGTTTCTCCCCATAATTCTAGTTGCAAAGCTAATCACAAATAACAATGTGTTACACCATATAATATTCAGATTTATAGTAATTTTTATAGTTTAGATGCTATAAGATAAACAGCCTTTAGTTTTATGGTTTAACTGTCAAAATCCTTTAAGCATTTAACTGTAAAAGAATGCTGCTTGTTGAAAATTTGTATAAAAAGTTATGTGCCCACACCACACACAAAAAAAACCAACCAGGAAACTTTTTCTACTTTTAATTTACTATTTAAACACAAGCTTGTTTAGTACTTTGTTCTTAGTATATTATAGGAAATGATAGCTTTAGAGACTGTATGATGAAGTGGTAGAGAAATTTAATAATCTGCATTTCTATTATGCCTTTGATCAGAAAATATCAAAGATGCTTGAGAAGTTTTAATGCATTTAGGCCCTGATTCAGAAGAGCATCCTTACTCAGAACACTTAAACACAAGTATAACTTTAAGGATGTGTTCAAACATATAAAAAGTCAGACCTCCTGGCTCCAGAAAGAGTAAGTAGCTACTAAAGAGAAGGTAGGTGAGGTAATATCTTTTATTGGACCAACTTCTGCTTTCAAGCTTACACAGAGCTCCTCTTCTTCAGGTCTAAGCAGCTAATAGGCAGGCAGGCAGTTTTTGCTTAACTATTTTACCTGAGAATGAAATACTATTTAAATAAATGGCACCATTCCAACTGGTCTGGGCTTGTACTGTAATTATCTCTGAATAGAACAACCAATATTAAAACAAAACCAAAATGGATTTAAAGTTACCAGTAAGACTGACATCCATAAAAAGCTCAAAAATTCAATGCTAGAGCTCAGAATATCTACTCACTACCCCACACCGGGCACAATGAAAAGAAAGAAAACTAAAGGGACAACTTATCTTTTTTAATTAAGTTTCTGTATAGTACACTTTAAAAGTGTGTTATCTTTAAACTTTCAAATTTTAATTTTTAGAAGGTTTTTTTCTGCTCCTGCTTATTTTTTTAATCATCTTTTCAGCTAAGGAGACTGGGCAGCTTGAAACAGAGAGAGGCAAGCCTGAGCACATTTATTTCCCACCCCAACAGCAGTTGTTTAAATCCTTCCCTATGACCCGCAAAGGGCTCCGGGAGAATGGAAGTTGGGAACTTTCTTGGTCCCCAAGGATCAATTGCTCCCTGTTCTCTGGAGAGGTTCAGAAAGGGAAGGGGACTCTCGACTCCGCTCCGATTGCTCCTTAGGCGCCCCCCCGATCTCAAACCTTAGCTTTTTCCCTTCTCCTCTGGCTCCTGTTGCTTCCCAAATCCATGCAGGGATCCCAGAAAAAGGAGACAGTCTCCTATGCTCAAATTTAGTAACACAAGTTCTGTTGCTAGGTTACTGGTAAAACACTCATGCAGAACCTGGGGAACAGGATACATGCAAATCCCCCTCCCCCCCCCAAAAAGTAGTACATGAAAATGATGTCACACTAGCAAATGAGACAGTACGTGCAAGTGACCAGCAACAAAAGCACTGAGACTGACTATATACAAAAAGAGTTGTCAAATGCTCAAGATAAGCAAAAACAATCTGCACCACACTTACTCTATACGTGGACCAACATCAACTTATTTAATTATAGTTAAGGATAAAATATTACGTTTTCATTAAAAGCATATCAGAAGATGGAACATTGCTGTTTCTAAACAGCACTGCAAGTAGGAAGTCATAACACTGAAAACCCTACATATATTTAACACTATTTTCTGCCCTACCTTTTATATCTTACTCCTGGGTTTTCCTCTAAAGTTGCACATAATGTAACAATTTGTTCAGCCATTGCTTCCATGATGGCATCTTTACCATTTGCCTTTTCCACAGTTGGACTGTAACAGCAGAAGAATGCATCTGGGACATCGAGAGTAAATACCTAAGTAAAGCATAGACATGAAAGAGCTTAGCATTGTACATTTCTTTAAAAATAAGAACATCTGGTGTAAGAACAGTCACAGGGGTGAGGACCTTATTTTGTAACAAAAAAGACATGCACAAGAAAATACATATCTAAGCTAACATTACCTAATGATACCATTTTATTTTTATCTCAATCATCTCTCTTTTTCTCTGTCCTCTTGTTCTCACTCTCCTTTCCTCTATTACTCTTCTCCATTTTCTCTTCTCCCTTACAGTCACTACTGTATGTTTCAACCTGTTCACTACCTGTACAGATGGAGGAACCTGAGGCAGTCAGAACTAAATACCATCCAATGTCTGGCATGGAGCAATACAATGCAATGCCAAAGTGATTATAAAGGGACACAGTGAAGCCTCCTTAGGCCCACAATTTGACATACATTTAAGAAGTTATAGTCGGGAGGATGGGGGGAGGGGTAAGAGAGAAATATATACATATACTTGTAGAACTTCAGCAAAAGATTTGACTTGTTTCTGACCCTATTAAAAACTACTCTTCTGGCGGCTCCCCTGTTAAGCAAGTTGCTGCCAGAGATTCACATAATCCTTATATCAACAGGCTCTCTTGACATCTTAAAATTACCTCCGTAGCTATGTAGCCAAATTCCAAATAGGAATTCCCTCTGCAGACAAAGGAGCAAAATGCTTATTTCCTTCTTGCAGAACATGGCCATTCAAACCTGTCCCAGGATGAAGTCTGACTCTACCCAGTTCTATCACCATGCAAACTGGGCTTAGGAGACTAATCAGGAGAAGATGCATCTGAAGAAGTGGGTTTTTTACTCACAAAAATTTATGCCCAAAATAAATTTGCTAGTCTTTAAGGTGCCACCGGACTCCTCGCTGTTTTTGTGGACACAGACTAACATAGCTACAAGGATACTTGTCATCAGGAGATTCTTATCTACCAGCCAAGCAAGCAAAAATGCCCTTTATTGCATGTTTATGATTCACAAAGACCTCAAGGGTTCCCTGATTCCAAGGCATTTAAAAAAAAAAAAAAAAAAAAAAGAGCTAAAAAGGAAAAGGGGTATGGATTCTGCTTAATTGGTTTTATAATGGAAAAAGTATCAATTTCTCAGTTTCAGACAGAGGTTCTCTGGAGGACCAGGATAGTGAATCCCACAATAAACAAACGTTTTCACAGCTCTCAGTTGACTTTGGATGCAGATGTTTCATCAAAACTAAAAAACTTTTTTTGGTAAAAGCAGTTTAATAAAAACAACCCTCTGACAAACATTTGTGATAAAAGCCCTTTGTGTAAGTCAACATTAGGAGGAAGATTCTCATTCCATTACTACAACCCCATAAACTCACCCAATAAAAAGTAGTGAGGAGAGGGAAAGGAGTCCTTCAGTTAGGAAGCTCCCTTATCAGAAAACAACAGGAGGCAAGAGCCTCTCCTACACTCATATACCAGTTGGGGTATAAGCGTTTGTGACCCTAGCAGTGTGACACATAAGAGAGAAAGGGAAGATACACAGAAAACAGGGAAAAGTAATGTGAGAAGAAGAACAGACATTTCTACAACTTCCTACAGTGGAGCAAGGGTTCTTGGCCTTGTGGGCTTCCCTATCTTGGCCAGAATTGATGTAATATTTCATCTTGTTTTTCTTTTATATGAAGTGCATGAGTGACAAATCTGCTATTGCAGACAGTTTTCAGCCTCTTTCATTGGTGGTTTTCACTCTAGCTGGTGATTATCCTCACCAGTGTCTTCATATTACTATTCTTAAATATATCAGGTCGTCTTTGCTTTTAGAATCCTAAATTCTCTGAATTGTTGAGAGATGGGAATTCAGCAAGAGCAAACTAGTAGTTGATTCTGGGGTCTTAACTAATCCTATCTAGTTACATGTCAGGATAACAATATTGCAAAATAGTGAGTAGTGCAGTTTGACATTGCTTAAAACAAACCAGAACTCATTTGCTGCACTGAATGACAAAAGCTTTGCATGTCAACTGAACCCAGTCATGCAATGAAGACAATTGAAAATAAATCTTTGATAGCAATAGCAATTTGTTTTCATCTTGCAAATACATTGGAAATATATGTATGTAAAATGGTGGTAAGCTTTGTGTACTGTTTGTCACAAAGTCTGAAAAATATATTTAAAATAAAAACCAGCTACATTTCAGGACTTTATAGTGGATAAATCAACACTTAGAAATATAAAATGCAGTATAATTTCTGGAGTTATGCTAATATAAAGACTAAAGTTTACCTGAGATTCATATGGAAAGAAGGAAATATTTATTTCTTTGCACCTTCTTATAGCCCTTGAGCAGGAGGACTTCATTTTATTAAAGAGAATGTCAGGGCAAACTGGAAAAAGAGATTAAAGGTTATGAAGCCATTTTATATTTATTTATTTCAGTTAATTCATTCACATTTAAATTTGCAGCATAAAAACCTCATTTATTTATAAATCTTGTTCTTTAAAAGTCAGATTTGTTTCAGAGAATTACCATATTAGTCTGTGGTTCCAGCATGTGATCAGACGGGAATTCTCCCAGCTAGAAAATTCTGAACTTTTAGAAACCAGAAACATGCCCATGGCTTACAGAATTCCATCATCAGGTCCTTTCAAAAGAGAGGCTGAAACAAGAGTCAATCACTATTAAGGGATAAAAATATTATAGAACCCTCCCAAAGGGAAAGAGAAGCGGTGTTAATCCACCGGGTTTGGGATCTCTCTTCAGAGAAGAGTTACAGGTACTTTTCTTTCCAGTGGATTCCAGCTTTTGGACACCGAAGCCCGAGAAAGATTTAAAACAAATTTAAGAGATACTGGAACAAACAAGGAGAAGAAAAAATAGTGAAAAACAACAAGAGGGTTTTGTGTAGGTTTTCTCACCCCTTTCATACGAGTAGCAAGGTACCTCCTAAATATTACAAAAAGGAGATTAAGATAGCCATCTCCTACATCCTCAAAATGGGCAATACACATCCCCAAACAAAATATAAAAGCAGATACAAGAGTTTGGTTGCACCTATTTTAGAAATATATTCTGTAACACTGAGAGGTTAAACTTGGATTCTTGTCTAGAAACTGAATTTAAGCAATGATTAGTAAATATATGCAGATAAGACCATATGGATGCTTAGCAAATTCCTTGAACAGAGAGCCAAAATGGGTTTTCCTTAAATGAAATAAATGGACAAACCTTAGAGGTTTACAGATCTGCAACTTAAACAGGGAGATATACAATTAGACAGCCATTCAGACATGGTTCTCTTGGAACATCAGAACCTATTGTAGGAGTGTTGTATGACACAAAAACACAAGTGGATTTTAAGGGCTCTAGAGCCTAGTTTAACTAAAAGCCTACAGACAAGAGACCACCAGGCCTCTTGAAGGTTGTTCCGTTTCCTGGTGGCTGTGACTCGTAAAGATCTTCCATTTAAAAAAAAAAAAAAAAAAAAATAGCTCAACTACAAAGCAGCTCTATATGGATGAAATGTGGATTGTGAGGGAAGCCAATTTTGTAGCACCAAAGGATAACCAAATAACCAATGTCGCCAACAAATAAATGTCTTCCCATATGAATGCCAGGTCTAGGTTCACTAGACACCCAGAGCCTTTTTTTTTTTTTTTTTTAAAGAAGAGGTTCTTGCTACATTTGAAAAGGGAGATTAGAACCCATTGACTTTTGATGCTCATCATTAAATGCCTGAACCCAGTCTTAGTTGTATCAGCTCTTCCTTCTCCCTGGTTCCCTTGATAGAGTAAGAGGAGGACTGTACAACAGACCTAATGAAACCAAGGATAGCATTGGTTGTTAGATCTGTCAGATTCACTTCCCTTTTCTCCCCACAGAGATTCCTTTCATCATTCAACAGGCCCTCAAGCTTCTGATAAACCTCCATAGGAAGGCTGATAAATATTTACACCTGTAAGTACAGGTTCCAGAGGCAGGTGCTCTCATTGATTGTCACTAAACACATCACCAAACCAGATGTCTATGTCCAAGCCCTACCAGAGGTGGTGTTCAGATGTGAGTTTCTCCTGGAGGAGAGACTAAACAAAGAGGCAGAAGTTTTCTTCCATAAACTTGACAAAACTAATGCAAGTGAAGAAGCTGTGCTGTAAGGCCTCTGATTGGACCTGTACTGAAGTGAGCGTCAAAACAAAATCCTAAGCCCAGCACAGGAGCTAAATTCTGTTCTTCACTTTTACTAAAGCCTTTGAGGTTTTCTGGGTGAGCCAACTACCAGTCTTATTCAAGATCAGAAGGGGTTTGAGGCACTCGTAAGGCCTGATGGCTCAGGGGGATATCTGAGAACAGTGCACAGGCACATCCATCATGTTGCACTGAGCATCTTCTGACGCAGCTGCTACATCTACCTCCCTCTTTCTTGCAAGTGAAGTGGCAACTAAGTGAACAGCATAGTACCACAGTGCATTGATGAATCATATGCTAGCCACTGAACAGATCCAAATCTTGGTAAATCCCCAGAAAGTGAACTGAAGGGATGGAACCTTAAGACTACTAAGAACATGGTGTGTCAATGAAGAACCTCTGTAACAAGAGGAGCTATTAAGTACTCCAAAAGTACTTAAAGGCCCTGCTATTTGTTGGCATAGCTAGATATTATACCAAGAAGCTAGGGCCAAAGCCTCAAGTATGTCAAGAATGCAGATGACTAGCATGAAGCAGCACTGAAAGGAGCAGGAAATGAAGCCCCAACAATTGTTGCTGCTGGTTTGGCAACTGTTCTGAGATAGAGCAGTTTGCCCATGAAGCAAGCTGAAGATATGCTTTGGGCAACAGACTGACAAGGAATGAAAAAAAAAAAAAAAAAAATCAGTAAAGGACACTGGAAGGCAGTGGGGAAATATATACTGAAGCTAAAAAGAGTGCTGCTATAAGTTCGAACCTTCACTAAAAAATGCTGGCTGGTCCCAAGGAACTCTGTCAACTACAGTCAGAAAGGAGCAGACCTTGGAATTCTGGGGCCACCATGAAGCACACATACAAAGGGTATGGAATGCCCTCTGGGGAACATTTCACCCAATAATATGCTGGAAAACACAAGGCTACAGTGGAAATCTAAGGTAATAGGTATCTCAGAGGAAAGTTTCTGTACTGTTCTCATTTTTTCATTTTAACATTTTAAGGTTTTTACGTTCTACCACAACAGCATAATAAAAAAAAAAAAAAAAAAAAACCACACACACAAAAAAAAAAAAAAAAAAAAAAAAAAATAATAAGTCAAACAGCAGAATGTAGTTTGGTTTGGGGGGAAAGGGGTAGTCTAGTAGTGGATTTGCATTAGAGGTTTTTTTTTTTTTTTAAAGATATAGACAGGCGTTTTATAATCTGGCCTGAGTAAGGGGAAGCGTGTAACTGCACAGCTCCAAGAGTAAACCAGGGACCAAACTGATGCAGCCAAAATTCAGTGTCTGCTTCCCATGGGGGAAGGAAGTTAGACTAGAATATAAGGACATAAGAATGGCCATACTGGGTCTGCCACATGCTTCAGAGGGAACGAACAGAACAGGGCAATTAGCGAGTGATCCATCCCTGTCATCTAGTCCCAGCTTCTGGCAGTCAAGAGTATGGGTGTCCTTTTCCTAGCACAGCTTATTTCCCTCTCCACACTCTTTCAGCTGTGCCGACTGATAATGGAGAGGGTGCAGCCTTAGTTCCCACACGCGCACAGATTGAGGGATTACCTATGGAATGACAGCTGTTCTTTCCTTTGCGTGCAATTTATGATGCAAGTAGACTATGCAGAGGAATTAAGAGGGCACCTACACTTTCTTACTCCCCTACAAGCATGTGGAGGCCAGCTCAAAACGGAGTTCATAGTGAATAAGTGAAATATAATCAAACTTCAAACCACTGTCCTTGCAGCACAGCAAACTGTCATCCCAAGAAAGTCATTTTTTGATGTTATTTATGCACAGGATTATATGTTTGTGTACCTCACAATTTTGCTCAAAAGCTTCTTCCTTTACATTCTATAGCATACAAATACAGTTAGCATGTTATAAAAATAAAACCAAAATATGTAACATTGAAAACTAAAGCATAAAATGCAAAGGTCATATTTATTCTGGGAAATAAGAAGCCACAGTGCCACACTGAACAGAAACTCTAATTCCACATCCTGTGGCTTTCCATTTCTGGCTACAATGCCTTACAGCATAATTAACAGGCAAAGACAGAATTATGGGTTGGAGGTGTTTTAAAAACACCTCAACTTAAATTCTCAACTCTGGTAAACAAGCTGAGTCTCAAAACTCCCCTCACAGCTTAGTGCAGTAGTTAATTTTTCAAATATGCACCAACTAGAAAATTAGAATAGGTTAGTAGCAAGATAAGACTGACAACCACTTTTAAACATTCATCATTATCAAACAATAAAAAATTACTTACAGTCAGTGAAGTAGACATATGCTGCTTTGTACTTGCTGGATGCTTTACTTACAAAGTCATTTATAAGCCCATCTACAGACTTAAGATAAAAATGCTAAATTGTAATTTACTATAAAGAAAATAACTGTCATTCGTGTCTATTTTGCCTGCCCTTAGAACAAACTTTTCTTGGTCTATATTTTTGAAAAGTTAGTGTTTATTGATCAGTATGAAATCAGAAATACTGTAATCACAGTCACATGGGAATGTAAACACTGAACTATAATATTTATATATATCCAGCCCAAGGATGACAAAACAATGAAAGAAGATCAGTAATATTCTCATCTATAGAAGTTGTACAAAAGATTGCTTTAAGGAAGCAAAGAAAGCAGAGGGGAGAAGGAAAATCTTATGTTATATTGTTATAGATTGAAAATGATTTAATAATTGGAAATTCAGTCTCTTCTGAACATTTCTGTAGTACCAGTACAGCCAACTCTTTTCTACGGCCATTATTTTGAATGACAGCTTTGTAATAGCTCAGTATGTAATGTTACGATGGCTTAGTGCTTTATGCTTTCTGTACTACAAAAAGAAAGAAAAAAATCAAAAAGAAAAACTAAGTAAAAGTTTTTCCCCTTAAAAATACTAACCTTCTTTGTTGGAGTGATGAAATAAATTGCCTTCATGTGCGGGACAGGCTCACGGTTTTTATAAACATTCTCCACAGCTAAAATATATAAAATTACTCATTTCAAAATGCAATACTCAATATATCTTTCTTAATTAATTAAGTTTGGAAAACTACATTGAACACTAAGGTTTATAAACAAAAAAACTAAAGCATTCTGGATTGCATCTTCTAATAATGCTCTATTTGACCAGTGATTGTATTTTACATTAGTATTTCCATAAGCTAAAATGGGTGTAAAACTCATTCTATGGAGAGAGCTGAATTACACTTTTAATTGATTAAGTAAGGTCTGTGGGTGGGGCCTTAAAAAAAATAAAAATAAAAATCAGGGGCCAGATGCTACCTTATCTATAAAGAATCCCCATTTTTCACATTGGAGGTTAACACAAAGACAGAGTAGAACAGAGTTACGTACTAACTAAACCTCTAGGTCCCAATCTTGCAAGTTGTTCTACACAGATAGACATCTGCCCTTATGTAGAGCCCCAGTAAAATCAATGGATCTCCATACGTGGGGCTAACATGCAAACAGCAGCTTACAGGATCACAACCTTAGTAAAATTATGCTTCTATTCAGCATCAGAGGGAAAAAACCAACACAGAGTACCTTTAAGACTCTAGCCTTTTCTGTCCTTTTAGCATTTCTTGTGCAATTAACCTACTGGACATGTAACTGCATGAACAAGTTGGTCATTTTTTAAAAACCAAGTATTTCATGTAACACGTCCTTCTAATGGCTTCTCTGTTTAGCTTACTCATTACACTACAGATATTACATACAGAGGATTTCCTGAGATAGGGCTGCTATGCATTGGTGGGAAAATGTGGGAAAACTTGTCTTGCTTCTGATCATGCCACAGCTTTTGTAAATTAACAGAGAACTTCAGTTTCCCGGACTGTCAGTCTGGCACTTTAAGCAGCACTTCACTTACTTGGTGGTTAAGAAAAGTTATACCCATTTGTTCTGAAAAATGTTCAGATGGAAACAGCAAAGCAATTTACTAAGAGTAAAATACACTTGAAAAGTGAATTACAGTTGAGATTTGAGCTTATTGTTCTTTCTGAAGTGGCATGTGATATACTGGACATATGGAAAGACAGTATCCGAGTAAATAATCAGTCTTAAAGCAGAACAAATTTAATATCAATGTTTAAATTTACATACTAAGGGTCCAATTATACAATCTCTTCCTTACTTTAAGTAGCCCCATTGATACTCGTGTGAGCAAGAATTGTGAAGTTACCATCCTAAATACTGTCTCACCATAAAATACAGATTTTTTAAAAAAAGAATCTATTAGAGAAGATTGAAAACTGCTTTCATAAAGTTGAATATATTCACTATCAATTTCAAAATGTTACTTTTCACCAGGATGATTTAGGCATCAGGCATCACAGAAACTTTAAAACACACTTCAAATAAGTTTTATAGCGAGAAATACTTCTTACTTTTTGAATTTTAAGACGGCTGAGATAAGGAAAATATAAGTGTTCCCTTTAATAAATGGTTTTTACAGGCTATAAAGTTTATGATTGCAGTGTTTCATCTTCTCAAGAATATAGGTAAATCTAGTCTCAAGTAGATCATATAGTAATTACACTATCAAATGAAATCTCATCTGATATTCTGCTTCTGACAGAGGCCAATACCAAATGCTTCAGAGGAAGGTGCAAGAAACTCCATAATGGACAGATATTGAACTGCCCATCAGGGTACTTTCCCCTTAAACACTTGCAGAAAGCAACTGCCTGAAGAATGAGGAGTTATAGCCTTCATTTTTTATTCTAGCTAATTCTAGCCAAGAATATTTTCATTATCCATTTTTAATCCTTTTTATTCTGGAAAGCTCTTGGACTCTGACATATTGTGAAAATGAGTTCCTGTGATAAATGAAGGGGGGTGGGGGTAGCTCCCTTTTATGGATGCCCAGCCAGACAGTAGCTATAAAATCCCTCTTAGTAGCTGTTCTCTAATTGCTCTACCTGTAAAGGGTTAAAAAGTCTCACTGCTGCATAGATAAAAAGAAGTGAGTGGACACCTGGCCAAAAGAGCCAATGGGAAGGCTAGAACATTTTAAAATTGAACAAAGACTCCCTTTTGTCTGTTGTTCTCGGGGAGAGGCAGACATGGAGCAGTTATGCTGTGAAAAGCAGTATCATACCCAGAAACTACTCACCTAAAGCCCCAGATATGTAAGTAGATCAGGAAAGGTCTAGGAAGACGCACTTAGGTTTATCCCTTTTATTTCTTTATGGCTTGTGGATTCCTCTGTGCTAACCCCAGGTGCTTTTGTTTTGCTTGTAACCTTTAAGCTAGACCTCAAGAGAGCTATTCTTGATGCTTAATTCTTGTAGTTTTTTTATTTAATCTAGCAGAAGACTAAGTTCCCAGATGAATTTTCTTTTATTAATAAAATTTACCTTTTTTTACAAACAGAATTGGATTTGTGCGTCTTAAGAGGTTTGTGCACGTTGTTTAATTAGCTGGTGGCAACAGCTGATTTACTTTTTTCCCCCCTCTCCTTTCTCAGCTCTTTCCCGGGGAGGGAGGGGGGGTGAAAGGGCTTGAGGGTACCCCACAGGAAGGAATTCCCAAGTGTGCCTTCCTGGGTTCCCAAAGGGGTTTTTCATTTGGGTGGTGGCAGCATCTACCAATCCAAGGTCAGAGAAAAGCTGTAACCTTGGGAGTTTAATACAAGCCTGGAATGGCAAGTATTAATTTTTAGAGTCCTTGTGGGCCCCCACCTTCTGCCCTAAAAGTGCTAGAGTGGGAAAATCAGTCTTGACAGTTCCATAGGTTAATTCTGCATTGAATAGAAGGATTTCCTTTTAGCACTTTTAAACGTTACCTTTTAGTTTCATTGGATGTCCCCTTGTTCTCTATATCATTCATTATTTTATTCACAGCTATCATGTCCCCTCTTCTCTCCACTCTAAACTTAAACAGTTCTTAGTCTTTCCATCCTTCCGTGGAGACTGCACCCTGATGTAGAGGGAAGGCTTGTGTGTTCCAGTGAACCTGACAGCTATGCTTGCAGGAGTTTTAACTCTTGATAGGGCCACGCAAACTGGACAGGTCAAAGGTAGGGATCAGACTAAAAGCAGCCTACTGGTCCTCCAGGTCAGGGGTTGAGCAATGGAACAACAACCCATCTTTGTACAAAAGTTATAGAAACACAACAAAGTATTCTGAGTACAGTAGAACCTCAGAGTTACAAAAATCTCAGGAATGAAAGTTGTTCAATAACTCTGAAATGTTCATAACTCTGAACAAAACATTATGGCTGTTCTTTCAAAACTTTACAACTGAACATTGATTTAATACAGCTTTGAAACTTTACTATCTAGAAGGAAAATGCTGCTTTTAGCCACCTTAATTTAAATGAAACAAGCACAGAGAGTTTCCTTTTTTTTTTTTTTTTTTTTTTAGTAATTTACATTTAACACAGTAATATCCTTGCTGGGGTGTTTTGGGGGGTTTCTGCTGCTGCCTGATTGCATACTTCTGGTTCCAAATGAGGTGTGTAGTTGACCGGTCAGTTCGTAACTCTGGTGTTCGTAACTCTGAGATTCTACTCTAGTGGCACGATGGACGGGGATGGAAGAGCCTTTTCCATGCCTTAAACAATGTCTGATGGCGTGGAAAGGATTCAGATTCAGTCTTTTCCATAGGAAAGTTTTTCCATGCCTTCAGCAATTTTGGTTTCCCTTCTCTGGACCTCTCCTATTTCTGTTTTCTCGAGACTTGAATCCTGTATCCAGATGAGGGCATTCCATTGATTTATATGTGGTGAGAATGCTGAGAATGCTATATCCTGTTCTTCATACATTCTAATACTTTGTTTTTCTTTGTCCAAAACTCTACACTACACACGTATTTTCACTGAGCTAACTACAATTGAAAAGACATTCTCAAGAAGTTCGTCTTGTGTCTGACCACATACTTGATTTGCTGCTTCCCTGAAAGTACAGGGGAGCAACTAATCACTTATATAGCATGAAAAACACTGAAGAACACTTTGCCCAAAAGTGAAGTCTCCAAGTAAAGAAAAGTTAACTATCATCCAACTGTAAAGTTCTTTCAAGCAAGTCTTTCTACACTGGACCTTCAAATTTGATCAAGCATACCAGATTTTAAGGAGAGCAGACAGGGAAGAGGCACATCTCTCAACTGACAGCATAAAGTTTCAAGAGTAAATAGCCAGTCAGCTATGGCAGACCAGTTTCCGGATTTTACAAATATTATACTTGCCTACATGCCACTTTGCAGCACCAATGCTGCAAGGTTTTTTCAAGAGAGCAGCATTAAACGCAGATTTCAGGCTTGCAATTAACAAACCATTGAATATTAAACAAGTAAATAAAGAAACAGTCTTATGACCTTTTTCTCATTTATAATAGTAATATTACATACAGCGCATATATTTATTAGTAAGGCTGCTAGTCCGTTCGGAAGTCACGGATTCTGTGATTTTCTGTGACCATTGTGACTTCTGCAGCCGCTGGTGCTGGCTCAGGGGCTGCCCGGCCAGCAGCAGCAGTTTGGGTGTGTGGGTGGGGGCTAGAGGTGGGTGCTCCCCGGCTCCCACAGCCCTGCAGCTCCTAAGCAGCGAAGGGGCTGGGGGGAGGAGGGGGAAAGCACTGTGCCACATGCTGCTTGCATCCACAGGCCCCAACCCCCGCAGCTCCCATTGGCTGCAGTTCCTGGCCAATGGGAGCGGCGTGCCAAGCACCCTGACCCCTCTGCTGCAGGGACGCAGAGCTGGGTAGGGAGCCCCTGCCAGGCCCGCCAACACTCCCCCCTGCACGGAGCTCCAGGCCTCGCAGCAGCAGGGGTCCCGGGCCATGCTGCTCACCCCCCATCCCCAGCCATGCTGCCCACCCCCCCCCTCCCCTCTCCCCCCCCCCCCCCCAGAACCCCCCCCCCCCCCCCCCCATGTTTTAGTCAGATATTTTTAGTAAAAGTCATGGACAGGTCTCACACACACACACACACACACACACACCAACAAGGAGTCCTTGTGGCACCTTAGAGACTAAAATTTATTTGGGCATAAGCTTTCGTGGGCTAGAACCCACTTCATCAGATGCATGGAGTGGAAAATACAGGAGCAGGTATAAATACATGAAAAGATGTGAGTTGCCTTACCAAGTGTGAGGTCAGTCTAACAAGACAATTCAATTGACAGCAGGATACCAAGGGAAGAAAAATGACTTTTGAAGTGGTAATGAGAGTGGCCCATTTCAGATAGTTGACAACAAGATGTGTGTAACGGTAGGGGGAAATTAGGTTTAGGTTTTGTATAAAAAAATAATAATAATAATAATAATGGAGATATCCTATCTCCTATAACTGGAAGGGACCTTGAAAGGTCATTGAGTCTAGCCCCCTGCCTTCACTAGCAGGACCAAGTACTGATTTTGCCCCAGATCCCTAAGTGGCCCCCTCAAGGATTGAACTCACAACCCTGGGTTTAGCAGGCCAATGCTCAAACCACTGAGCTATCCCTCCCCCACTCCCAGTCTTTATTCAGGCCTAATCTGATGGTGTCCAGTTTGCAAATTAATTTCAGTTCTGCAGTTTCACGTTGGAGTCTGTTTTTGAAGTTTTTTTGTTGAAGAATTGCCACTTTTAGGTCTGTTATTAAGTGATCAGAGAGACTGAAGTGTTCTCCTACTGGTTTTTGAATGTTATGATTCCTGATGTCAGATTTGTGTCCATTTATTCTTTTGCATAGAGACTGTCCCATTTGGCCAATGTACATGGCAGAGGGGCATTGCTGGCACATGATGGCATATATCACATTGGTAAATGTGCAGGTGAACGAGCCCCTGATGGTGTGGCTAGGTCCTATGATGGTGTCCCTTGAATAGATATGTGGACAGAGTTGGCACCGGGGTTTGTTACAGGGTTTGGTTCCTGGGTTGGTGTTTTGTTGTGTGGTTGCTGGTGAGTATTTACTTCAGGTTGGGGGGCTGTCTGTAAGCGAGGACCGACCTGTCCCCCAAGGTCTGTCAGGATAGATTGTAGATCCTTGATGATGCACTGGAGAGGTTTTAGTTGGGGGCTGTAGGTGACGGCTAGTGGCGTTCTGTTACTTTCTTTATTGGGCTGGTCTTGGAATAGGTGACTTCTGGGTACCCTTCTGGCTCTGTCAATCTGTTTCTTCACTTCAGCAGGTGGGTATTGTAGTTTTAAGAATGCTTGATAGAAATCCTGTAGGTGTTTGTCTCTGTCTGAGGGATCGGAGCAAATGTGGATGTATCTTAGAGCTTGGCTGTAGAGTGTAGACAATGGATCGTGTGATGTGGTCTGGATGAAAGCTGGAGGCATGTAGGTAAGTATAGAGTATAGCGGTCAGTAGGTTTCCGGTATAGGGTGGTGTTTATGTTACCATCGCTTATTAGCACAGTGAATTTGTTTACTGTCCGTGACCTGTCCGTCACTTTTACTAAATACCGTAACTAAAACATAGCCTTATTTATTAGCCCAACATTTTTATCTGCCCCAGATTAAAAAAAAAAAAAAAAAAAAAAAAAAAAAAAAAAAAAAAAAAAAAAAGCACCTTTAACAACTATTTTACACTTACCAGTGATGCCTTCTGCCAGTAAATCAGTCATTTTGCCACATGACGACAGTAGTTTAGTGGTAAAGTCGTCTAAAATAATTAACTAAATATAAAAACAAATGAAGCAGCATTTAGGCAAATAATTCAGAATCAGCTACAATTACTGTAAGACAAGGTATATTTCATGTTCTTAATTCTCTTTGATAAGCAGCTGTGGAAGCTTGAAACTGAAATTATTTTCTTACCAATTTATTTTCCCCAGTCGCTCACTTTATTACTGCAAGGTTGCTATTTTTATTTTAAGGGGTTACAAGTAACATGGATTTTGCAAAGGAAAATTTTATTTTTATATGTTATATATAACATTTTTAAAACCTTATTTACTTTACATACAACAATAGGTTAGTTATATATTATAGACTTATAAAAAGAGAATTTCTAAAAACGTTAAAATGTATTATTGGCACGTGAAACCTTAAATTAGAGTGATTAAATGAAGACTCAACACACCACTTCTGAAAGGTTGCCGACCCCTGCTCTAACCATTTTTCATCCTAGGTCTTCCATGACAATTGAGATCAGCCTGGCTGGCCTTACTCAACATTCCAAACTTCCATCTTGCTTGGGCTGAGAACTTTGTGGCTCAGAGAGCTATTTGCAGAATTTGCTATGTCAGAAGATCTCCTTGAATCCTGCAGTGGCTGTCTTCATTATATTTGGTTTAGTGTAAAACCTTCCTCTTCAAATCAGTTTATCCTGAATTATTTTAAGCTTCCTCTCCTGATCTCCCTGGGTAAATTTTATTCTACAGATCTTTTTGTTCATGGCAAGAACAGCTGCATCACCACAATGGGAGTATTTTTATTGTCTGTGTAACAACCCTGATGTTTTTCTGATTTAAAAAAAACCCAAATTCTAAATAAAGCACCATATTGTCTAAGCCTGCTCAAAACAGATACCCTTTAAGTCTGTTGTGTATATGTCTACACTGCAATTAAAAACAGTGTCTGGCTTGTGCCAGCTGACTTAGACTCATAGGGCTTGGGCTAAGGAGTTGTTTAATTGTGGTGTAGATGTTCGGGCTCAGGCAGGAGCCCAGGCTCTAGGACCGTGCAAGGTGGGAAGGTCTCAGAGCTCGGGCTGCAGTCCAAGTCCGAACTTCTGCATCGCAATTAAACATCCCCTTACCCTGAGCCCAAGTCAGCTGGCACAGGCCACCTGCAGGTTTTTAACTGCAGCATAAGTATACCATATAAGGCCAACACAGCATTCCCACCGGTGGAAATCAATCAATGGAAAATTACAGAGAAATGAGTGAGGCTGTTGTCTCTTTCAGGAAAATAGGGTAAAACAAGACCTGAATTTCTAAAGTTTAAAAACCAACAGAATCACCTTTCAGGTCTTCTTTCTACATCACTAGGAAACCAGAAGACAAATCCATTTGTCCATCTACTACAGGTCATTTAATGAAAGTGCTGTGAAGAAATCTCAGGCAAGCAAAGAAACAGAGTTAGCGTACTTAATGAAACAGACTATTGCTTTTAGTAATTCTAAAGTGTTACAAAAAGCAAAATGAACTATACCTTCCATTCTTCTTCCTTCCTACAATCATCAAATACTGATAATTTTAGCTCTGTTAAAAAAAAAGAAAAAAAACACAACGTGTCAGTTTAAAGACACACAAGAACAAACACCATAACTACTTATTCAGTAACAGTTACGTTTATGGAGATGTCAAAAAGCACAAGATGTAATATTTTGCTAGGTGAGTCTCCAGAAGTATCATTTTTGCAACTAGTCCTTTGCTCTATTTTACAAAAAGTAGTGCAAAACTTGAAGCTGTAGTTTTCACTTGAACTAGTTTCAATATTTACAGATCCATATAATCAGTCCAAATGATTATCCTGATCCTGCGAACATTTAGTCACATTCATAACTTTATGTTGGAGAACAGTTCCTACTGAATTCAACAAGACTCTTCATGAGCACAATGTTAAGCTAACTCTTAGGTACGTGCAGGATCAGACGTATATATACGAACAAAAGTATGCAAAAACATATTGCATACTTTTAAATACATAGCTAGGCATTTTTGCTTTACTCTACCATCCCAAGAGTAACCTATGACAAATACCCATTGTTTTAGAAAAGAAAAAAGCAAATGCTTGGAAGTATGATTCCTTTTATATTGTGATCTCTGAGGAGCAACTGTCATTTGTTATGTTTGTACAGAGCCTACTAGCTGCAAGGGATATACAGAACAAATATGCCTTGATTGATTAATAACGACCGATTCCTTCTGGCCCTTAAAAATTGGAAAAGTTATCCACCACTGTTTATCCCAAAATAAGATCCACCTAGGAAGACAAGAAGAAAATGGTTCACATCATGCGAGACACTTTGTCTAAGGACCCACAGGCAAAGTCAGGAATTCTAATTAAAATGATTAAATGAGAATATTGTTATATCTAGGCAAGAATCTCTCAATTTGCATATGGATAAAACCTCTCTCTCCCTCTCACCCTACCTAAAAAGAACTCTAAGTTACCTACCATGTAAGGGTGACACACTGCTTTCTTATGCAAAGTGACCCATTACACATTATGAGTGGATAAAGAAATGGTTGGGGAAGATGCAAGTTAAGCAAATTAGAAATGTTGCTGTAAGACTGAAGGTCAAATTGAACAAAATAACTGTTACACCAAGAAATCCAAGCAAAATGTTCACACCAAACTATACATTGAGTTACAAAAAATACAAATATACTGTAAATAATCTTTCACCCCATATCAGAAGCTGCCCATTTGTTTGCCTTGTGAGTCAGATCTACATCCTTCTATATGTGGAAAATGTCTTGTTCTATGGCAAGCCCAACATAACAAACTGCTCATGTACAATCAGAGTGTATGGAGTATGTCCTCCAAATTTAAAATATTAAGGATTTTGTTGTTTTCATTGTAAATAACTGTTGCACTCTAGAAGTAATAGGAATTGTCTAGCACAAGGAAAAAAATATCAAAAAATATAAACCAGGGTATAACTTAGGATATTAAGAGAAGTTGCTTAAAGGGGAGGATCTCAGTTGATAGCAGGGGCTAATAATGAAATACAATCCTTGAAACAAATCAAACTTAAAAAACCTCTGATAAGGAAAGGATTAAAGAAATTTGTTATATACCATCACCATCTATTGCAGGGATCTCAAACTCAAATCACCATGAGGGCCACATGAGGACTAGTATATTGGCCGAGTGCCACATCACTGACACCTGTTCATATAAAGATATGAAAGCCCACCCTTCTACCTCCGGCCCCACTCTGACTCCACCTCTCCCATGAGGCCCCGTCCCTACCCCACATCTTCCCACCCCTTCCCCACCCCCATTCCAACCCCTTCCCCAAAGTCCCCACCCCAACTCCGCCCCCTCCCTGTCCCTATTCCAACCCCTTCCCCAAATCCCCACCCCTGTCCCGCCACCTCCTCCCCATAGCGTGCAGCTCCCCCTCCTCCCCCTCCCTCCTGGAAAGCGCTAAGCACTGCCAAACAGCTGTTTGGCAGCGGGAAGCACCTGGAGGTAGGCAGAGGAGTGGGAATGCGGCACGCTGGGGGGGCAGCAGGTGAGAGGAGCTTGATGGCCACAGGAAATAACTCCGCCGGCCTGCGAGCCACATGTTTGAGACCCCTGATCTACTGATGGAAGCAACACAAACAAAGAGCTAAAATCTAAGCACTCACTTGGTATGTGTCCAATAGGAATAAGAGGGCGGCCCATTCCTACAAGTCCTGAAACTAGGCTATATAAACTGAAGTCACCACATGCTCTTGAGAACTGACTGAACCCAACAAGCTGAAGAATCCTAAGCATGACAGACACCAGGACCAACCGTGTGGAAAGGACTCTCCCCCATCCCAAAGTTAAGAGAATAAGAAGTATTCAAAGATTATATTACAGAATAGAAGGAGAAATACAAATAACTAGGTTATCTTGCTGAGTCTACACTCTCTAGTGAGACCTCAAGTAAACCATATTTTAACTCCTTTATTCATCCAAGCAAATTGGCCTGAAAAAATTGTTTTAAGCAACTGCTTTTAATATTCTAAATTTGTCCTTTTGAGACCAATCCATTCAAACTGTACTAACTACACTCTTCAAAGTGCCTTAAAAAAAGTGCCTCCCTGGAAGTGTGATAATTGTGTTATGATAATCCATTCTCAATACATTAGTGCCTAAGTAAATCTAATAATAAATCTTAGTAATTTCCACTGTTCTTTGATATAACTGCTGAGCCTCAACTCTAGTCTATGATAACTGCTTGCACAACTGTGATGATGATGATGGGCGATCACTCGTTACCGAGTATGATCATCTTCCATGGGAGTTATGGGTCCTCAGGTGGCTAATAAGGCCAATCCTTGAACCACAAGTTCTCTTACAATGAGAGCAGATGTTTTCAGGCTCAGCAGGAGGCTGTTGACCATGACTGGAAGCCAGTCTCTCCTTCCTCCTGCGCCTCTTGTCCTCTTCGGCTTGTCGGACAGCAAGTTCAAAATGCAGGGGACCATCACGTAGGACTTCACTCCATTTTAAGCGATCCTGGGCAAGTGTCTCCCAAGTATCAATGTCAATATTGCACTTTTTTAGACTGTCCTTAAGCAAGTCCTTATAACGCTTCAGTTGTCATAAGAACATAAAAACAGACATACTGGGTCAGACCAAAGGTCCATCCAGCCCAGTATCCTGTCTGCTGACAGTAGCCAATGCCAGGTGCCCCAGAAGGAGTGAACCTAACAGGTAATGATCAAGTGATCTCTCTCCTGCCATCCATCTCCACCCTCTGACAAACAGAGGCTAGGGACACCATTCCTTACCCATCCTGGCTAATAGCCATTAATAGACTTAACCTCCATGAATTTATCCAGTTCTCTTTTAAACCCTGTTATAGTCCTAGCCTTCACAACCTCCTCAGGCAAGGAGTTCCAGAGGTTGACTGTGCGCTGTGTGAAGAGCTTCCTTTTATTTATTTGTTTTAAACCTGCTGCCCATTAATTTCATTTGGTGGCCCCTAGTTCTTATATTATGGGAACAAGTAAATAACTTTTCCTTATTCACTTTCTCCTCACCCCTCATGATTTTATATACCTATCATATCCCCCCTTAGTCTCCTCTTTTCCAAGCTGAAAAGTCCTAGTTTCTTTAATCTCTCCTCATATGGGACCCATTCCAAACCCCTAATCATTTTAGTTGCCCTTCTCTGAACCTTTTCTAATGCCAGTATATCTTTTTTGAGATGAGGAGACCACATCTGCACGCAGTATTCAAGATGTGGGTGCACCACAGATTTATATAAGGGCAATAAGATATTCTCCATCTTATTCTCTATCCTTTTTTTAATGATTCCTAACATCCTGTTTACCTTTTTGACTGCCGCTGCACACTACATGGACGTCTTCAGAGAACTATACAGGATGACTCATAGATCTCTTTCCTGATTAGTTGTAGCTAAATTAGCCCCCATCATATTGTACGTACAGTTGCGGTTATTTTTTCCAATGTGCATTATTTTACATGTATCCACATTAAAATGTCATTTGCCATTTTGTTGCTCAAATCCTACTTAGTTTTGTGAGATCTTTTTGAAGTTCTTCAGTCTGCTTTGGTCTTAACTATCTTGAGCAGTTAGTATCGTCTGCAAATTTTGCCACCTCACTGTTTACCCCTTTCTCCTTTGTCCACTTATGTTACAGTACCCTTCTTTCATCTGAGAGAACAGGTCCTGTTTTGGGAGGGGATATTCTGGCATCCGGACGTTACCAGTCCATCGGAATTGCTGATAGATCATTGCCTCAATACTAGTGGTGTTAGCCTCTTCCAAAACACTAATACTGGTGGCACTTGTCTTCCCATTTGATTTTAGAAGCTTACGAAGGCAGCGTTGATGGTGCCTCTCAAGGACTTTCAAGTGGTGTCTGTAGGTTGTCCAAGTTTCAGACCCATACAACAGTGCTGGGAGAATAACAGCTTGATAAACAAGAAGCTTGGTGTCTGTTCAAATGTCATTACACAAATTGAATCTATTTTCCCATGTTAAGTATCCTCACACCTTTTTTCAACTGTCTGAATTGGGCCATCTTGATTATCACTACAAAAGTTTTTTTTCTCCTGCTGATAATAGCTCATCTTAATTAATTAGCCTCTTAGAATTGGTATGGAAACTTCCACCTTTTCATGTTGTGTGTGTGTGTGTGTGTGTATATATATATCTTCCACTCTATGTATCTGATGAAGTGGGCTGTAGCCCACGAAAGCTTATGCTCAAATAAATTTGTTAGTCTCTAAGGTGCCACAAGCACTCCTTTTCTTTTTGCAGATACAGACTAACATGGCTACTACTCTGAAATCTGTTTGAATGTCGTGATCTTCAAAAACCCTGTGCCGTAAACGAGAAAAAGCTACACTGGCACAGCTCAGGCGATGTTGAATTTCTCCATCAATATCTGCCTTGGATGAAAGATGACTTCCAAAGTAGAGGAAACGATCGACATTCTCCAGTGCCACTCCATTGATTTTGATAGATGGAGTACGTAATACCTCGTTTGGAGGGGGATGATAGAGCACTTTAGTCTTCTTGATA